GAAACACGGTAGGACAAACACCTCAGCCGTGGCAGATCACTGTTACAATTCAATGGGCTCACATGACATTGACTTCTCCAAGACAGAGGTTCTCTGCAAGCCATCTGGCTACCATGAGAGATTCGTTCATGAGGCGATCCACATATACAAACACGGACAATTTCAACCGAGAAGATGGATTCTGGCTCAGCAATCATTGGAAGGGCGTAATAAACCATTTCGGATCTTAACTGATTGTGTTCACGTTTACGGTGACTTTCAGACCGCAGTCCACTCACAGGCATTGACTATATATCTTGTATTTTCCACAGGGAATGGATTGTTTGCTCCGCTGCAAGTCTCCTATCACCACTCTCCCATTGACATATTTCGTTGCTTCCTCTTAGTATCTTTCACGCGACCGTCAATGGTATAGTGTATAGCAGATTGTATAATAATAAATAGTATAAAATTGAAATGTTTAATACAATGTGTAAGGTAATATATAGTATCGTAATTGTATAGTGAATATACAGCAGTGTGGTATACAGTAGGGTGGGTAGAATAATACATAGTGTAATATTACAATGTATAGTCGAAGGTATAGGGTGGGTTATAGTAATACAGTATAATTTAATGTTGGGTTTGTCTATGGCAGTATATAGTATGGGGTAGACCCGTGTGATGTAAGAGGAAAAAGGTTTAGCTGGAAGCATATTATATATTTTTTGCGACATAGAATTGCAATGTATTACTTACTGTTAGTAGCTCAGCTTATTGGAGAGTATATTTAGTATACTGATGATACTATGTAGTTTATACTTTAGTTTTTTACGTGGTGGTTTAGTTACTGCAGCTACATACTATTAACTAACATTCCTTCACTTTATTAATGCTACCCCTATCCCCTCCCTTTGATGCTGCTAATCCTGCATAATGCACGGGCACAATATGACTTTGAAACCCCCCGCCCACCTCCTACGTATTTCACAAGTAGTGACTAATCCCATATCTGCATTTCCCATAAATATGCTAAATTCCGCTTGATATGCAAATTATTTTGTCAAGGCACTCTTCCCCCTCCAACCCAGGTTAAATATACGCTCCAAGCCTGGGGTGTTTCATTCAGACGCTGTCTTCCCGACAGACCTGTTCTTCACCTGAGGACGGCTGCTTGCGTTGTGGCCGAAACGTCGTGAGAATTATTTAATGATTTTTTATTATTATTTTATTATTTTCCTTCTACGTGACTTTACCGAAAGAACCAAGAAGATTTCTACGTGGTGTTTGTATGTTCTTCCCTGTTCTATATGGTATTCTATGAATCTTTCCGTAAAGTCACGTAGATAGATAAAAATATAACAATAAAATAATAAAAATGAAAATAAAGTGAATAAAAAATAATATCACGATGTTTCGATCACAACACAAGCAGTCGTCATCAGGAACAGGGAGGTTAGCCTCTTGAGGTAAAGCTGTTTATAAAGGTTTAGAGAATGCTCCGACATCGGCAGTAGGTCTACACCAATCAAAGCATTGCACCTTGCTCCACACACCCACACTGCTGACGGTGTAGGTGGACAAGAAAACACAAATCAAATCATGACCCAAAGTGGTTGATGACATCTTTCAAATGATTGCTGAGTTTAAAACCATAGTCTCGGTTGAAATTGTGTCTGTGTGTGTATGTATGTATGGATGGCTTCGTGAAAGAATCTTTGTTGATAGCCAGTCGGCTTGCAAAGTACCATCGTCTTAAGAGAAATCAATTTCACGTGAGTCAGCTACATTAAAGTCATCATCAGCCACGGCAGAAGTGTTTCAGATCTTTCTTATGTTCACGAACACGGTCCGAGACATGTCGTTTGGTTTCCCCAATGTAACTGCTGCCGCAGATACAGCTTAGTTTGTAGACGCCTGGATATTGCATGTCAGGAATCTTGTCCATCACAGATGGGATCAGGTCACGAATTTTATGCACTGTATTAATTTGGACCTGGATTTTGTGTTTGTTCAAGATTTTGGAAATATTTTTGGTTATCCCTGCTATGTAAGGTAAGGTGATGCTTTTGATTGGATTTTCAGATAGCTCCTTCCTCATGGTTGGGGTGATGGCTTTGTGGATTGTGTAGTCAGAATATCCATTCGTCTTGAGAGCCTGGTGTATGTGTTTGAGTTCACTGGTCAGGTGTTCATGGTCAGAGATGCATTGAGCTCAATGGTGTAGCGTTTTGATGAGGGAATTCTTCTGGGATGGATGGTGGTGGGAATCCGGTTTTAGGTAGGCGTCAGTATGGATTACTTTCCTGTAGACAGGGTGGCTCATTGAGTCATCTGGTCTCTTTTTTATAAAGATATACAAGAAGGGTAGCATGCCACCCTTTTCTACCTCCATGGTGAATTTGATTGCTGGGTGTATGGAATTGATGTGGTTTAGGAATTGTTCCAGAGCCGGTCGGTCATGTGGCCAGATGACTAACGTGCGATCCACGTACCTCTTCCACAAGGACGGGCGTAGAGTGGATGCCTGGATGGCGTCCGTCTCAAATTGTTCCATGAAAATGTTGGCCACAACCGGAGATATGGGAGAACCCATTGGGGTGCCTTCAGTTTGTTTGTAGAATGTTCCATTCCAAGTGAAGTATGTATTGGTGAGGCAGTGTATCACCAGAGCTGGTACATCAGCATTCAGCCTTGTTGGACCAAATCTTCAATTATTGCAATGGTATCGGGCACAGAAACTTTGGTGACCATAGAAACTACATCGAAACTAATAAGCAAATCACCTGTGGACAGTGAGATGCCTTTAATTGACGATACCAGGTGAGCTGAGTTAAGAACAGAAGAGGTGGTCTTACTAGTGAATGGCTGTAAGGTCTCGGACAGATATCGTGCCAGTTTGTAGGTGGGTGAGCCAATGGTGGAGATGATGGGATGAAGGGGTGTACCTTCTTTATGGATTTTTGGTAAGCCATATACCGTATTTTCTCGCATATAGCCCGCATACGTATATAACCCGCAGACGCATATACCCCGCAAAAATAGCATTTTGTATAAAACAAATTTCAGTCCGCATCGTCATATCTTTAACGTCGTTACCGCAGCTTAATTCCATCATATTAATACAAAGTTTACATTTGTAATACATTCCACTATCAATTGTTAACATTCAAATCATAACGCGCACAAAGAAAACAAACTATCTGGAAACGAGTGACCTTAAAACAGTAAATAAGTAACAAAAGTAAATATCCAATAAATAAGTAACACATATCTGGTAGATAAATAATTAAGCGTACTGTTAAGCTTACCAGCATTCGACCTCATCATATTACAGCTACTGGACCGGTAGTTACACCTGTACAGTTTTAGCACTGGTAGATTGCACACTGCGCAGACAATAGCGGCACTACGGTAACGCAATTGCCTCCTGGCAACAAAGCCATTGGAAGTTTGAAACAAAGCTCATGGTCGCGACTGTATAGTGCTCAGCCAATAGCAGCGGCCTAAGGGACTCCGCAATTATGATTCCGCGTCTGGTCGACGCTTGTTACGGCCCTTCCCATTGTGCAATCCATAGCCTCAGCTGAAGCTTTCGCACCCCCCTACAGCCACTGAAAGTATTACGGTAAACAAAGTGCGCCCACTTCAAACATTGTCGTTTCATTGTACAAACAATTTGAATAATTTAAAACGTGATAACACATGCAATTTTAGTGTGAGTGGTTTATTCAGCAGTGCTTTAGTCAAAGGTAAGTGTTGCATAGTGGATAGTTCTCCCATGAAAAAATGTAACGAGTTATGACATGTCACACGTGTAAAATATTTTTGGGATAGCCCACACCTCCATATACCCCGCAGGGTCTTGTTTTGTTTGTAAAAAGTGGTATACCCCGCGGGTTATATGCGGGAAAATACGGTAGTCTGGGTGGTCTAGCAGCAGAAGGTTTTAAGGAAAACCGTTTGGTCTGTTCAATTAATGAAGCTGAATCGGTGATACTGTTCGTTTTTGTAATGAGGCAGTTGGTGGGATCTCTTTATATTTTTGTGTCGCAACCATCATTAAGTAGGTCCTGAATTTTGTTATTCGTGACCTGATCCCATCTGTGAAGGACAAGATTCCTGACATGCAATATCTCGGCATCTACAATCTAAGCTGTATCTGCGGCAGCAGTTGCATTGGGGAAACCAAACGACACGTCTCGGACCATGTTCGTGAAGGCAGATATGAAACACGGCAGAACCAATACTGCTGCTGTTGCTGATCATTACTTTAACCCGGCTGGCTCACATGAAGATTATTTCTCTAAGACAATGGTACTTTGCAAGCCGACTGGCTATCAACAAAGATTCTTTCACGAAGCCATCCATACATACAGACACAGACACAATTTCAACCGAGACGACAGTGTTAAACTAAGCAATCATTGGAAAGATGTCATAAACCACTTTGGGTCATGACTTGATTTGTGTTTTCTTGTCCAACTCCACCGTCAGCAGTGTGGGTGTGTGGAGCGAGGTGCAATGCTTTGATTGGTGTTGACCTACTGCTGGTGTCGGAGCCCTCTCCTACATTAACATTAGCTGCCCCGCCCATCTCTTAACCTTTATAAACAGCTTGCCCTCAGAGACTAACCTACCTGTTCCTGTTGACGAATGCTTGTGTTGCTATCGAAACGTCGTGATATTTTTATCATTTTTAATTCACGTGACTTTACTGAAAGCACCATAGAATGTTAATTCCTGCAGTCACGAAAGTTTTTAGTGAAAATGTTCTACATGGGTTTCTCCAGTTACCTGCCATTGTAAAAAAACACGTACAATGTAACTGGTATTGTCCAAAATACATCCCAATGCTGAAAAGTTGCCTGTAAATTACTCAATTTGGATTACACAGCAGCAACATCATCATCCACTTCTGCGGAAATTTGGCAGGACTCTCTTGAAAAAGAGTCCTGAGTGAACTAGCATGCTTAATGGAAAATAAATCAAATGCCTCTGCTGCCCCTTCTGTGTCCCAGGTGATTCAGCAGGCCCTGCACGGGCAACCGTCGGCAGCTCAGTACCTGCAGAGGATGTACGCCGCCCAGCAGCAGCACCTCATGCTGCAGACTGCTGCATTGCAGCAACAGCAGCAGCAACAACAGCAACAACAGCAGCAGCATCTGAGCAGCGCTCAGCTACAGAGCCTGGCGGCTGTGCAGCAGGTAAGTGGATGGGTGCAGCAGTAGAATAGATGGGTGCAGCCGTAGACGAGATGTGTGTAGCCATATTATATCTGTGCAGCAAGAAATTAAATGTGTAGTGAGAATAGATGAGTACAGCGGGAGAAATGTCACGGTGAGTCTCACTCCCATAATGGCCATGTCTTAAAATATCGAGCCAGTCCTGCTGAAACTCAGGGTTCAAGCTTTGGTGTTTAGTGTGTCTTGGGGGATTCATAATGGCCATCTCAGACATTGAGCTGACACCCTCCAATAAGCGTTGAGAGGTTGCTGGAGCAGGAAGGAGACCGGAGTGAGATCAGAGTGGAGAGATGGGCAGAGGAGAATCCATGGACCATTTTGGAAGGCTTTGGGATAGAGACAGTAACTGAAAAAGTTGTAGGCAGACGGTCCGACAGGAGACACAGACAAGAACAGACAGAGGTGAGACTCCCAACACAGAAAGACAAAGTAACAGGATTTACTGGAGGGGGACTTTGTGGAGTGGAGGGTATGGCAGTAGAATTAGATGAGAGGGGAGAGATAGCTATACACCAATGGGTATTTGATGCATTGTGAATATGATCAGTCTGATCTTGTCGTTGGATTTGGAGGCAGTGGAGGATTGGGATAACACTGGTTTGTGGATCAGCTGTTCAGTTTGAGCAGTTGCCGTAGAGCTTAAATTAACACCACTAACCTCTCCGTTTCGCCTGTTCCCACTTCTCCGCCTGTCTTCTCCCAACAATACCAACAATAATCCTCTGCCTGTCTGTTCCCCCCGCCCTTCCTACCTGCCACCCATGCCCTCGCCCACCCCTTAACTCTCGACCACTCCAGTCCTCTGCCAACTGCCCTCTCGACTACTCAACTCCGTGCCTTGCGCTGGTACGACAGCGAGACGACAGAAACATCAAACCCCTGATCTCCTTTTCCATCCTCCCACCCCCACGACCTCTCCTTCTCCCCCACCCCCCTTCCTTCCTCCCACACCACCCCTACGTATGCACTGTTTTCCACAGCCTGCCCAGCTCTCCTACCATGACGTTACCCGGCCAAGGAATGCCCTGAGCCCTGACTAGGGTTGCTGTAACATGGCGGTGCTGTGATATATCTTATGATACAAGATCCACGACAATCGAAAGTCCGTTTTGCACAATATTGGTATATTGTGATTATCATGGCTCTTTTACTTCCTGTCAAAATATTTGTTCAACGACAATAATTTTAAGGTAACAGTACTAATTAAGTTCACGATATGAAATAAAGTTCACAATAAATTAAGCTATTTCCCATTAAGTTAGCGATTTGTAAAATGTTTGCCAAACGTATTCACAGCTACGTGGTTATATGACATCATATCTGTAATCTATAAGTTTCATTATTTATATTACGTAACTTTCCACTGACTTGCATTATAAGCGTTAAATATTGTAAAGATGTAATCATTGGAAGATATAACGCTTCCGTCGAGTGAAATGCGGTCGAATAAGTTATAAGCGATCTTTATTCGTACCTAAAGTTATAGCAAAACACAAAAGCAGTACAAAACAGATGTGAAGCAAAATTACAGTTTTGTGGAAATGCCGATTTCGCAATAATCGCCTCATCGTGAAATGGCATCGTATCGTGAATTATATCCCAGCAAACCTCCCACCACCCCCTTACCCCTTGCATGTGCGTGGATCGCAGTTTCACAGTGCCCGCTTTCAACGGATGCAGGATTAGATTCTCAGGTAGTTCCCAGAGGAGAGGATTGTGATGATGACATTTTTATAAAATAATCGATTAATATGCTTTTATATTAGATGCATTGACACCTGTACGTAAGGATCGACAAAATTGTTAACTATACAAGTTTTATTATGCGAGACCGGCGCAGTTTGCACACGCTTGTGATCCAGCAATTTAGGCGCAATAGTTGGTGGGTCACGTATAAATCTGTGAAACTTCAAAGCCCACTGGGATGTGGGATGGGAGAAAACCTACACCTGCGAAGGGGCAATGCTCTATCCCATACAGATGGAACAGATGGCGATTAGTCCACATTTTGCTCTATTGTCTTTTCCTGGTGAGCCATGGTATAGGTGCCATGGTGGCGAAATGTTAACTCCCTCGCCTTGTATACAGGAGGTTGTGGGTTTGATCCCGACCCTGACGCCTGCTGTATATTTGAAGTTTGCATGTTCACCCTCTGTGGTCGCGTAGATATTTCTCTGGGTCCTACAGTTTTTCCCTCCACATTTAGAAACATGCGTTTTGAGTATTTCCCTGATTTAAATTTCCACATGATAAACCACTTCGTTGAACCATCAATGGGCCTTACCTGATAAAGCAACAATTCCACAGTGCTGGATTACAGGCGTGTGCCACCACCGCCTACCTCCAACAATAATCAGTACAAATTATCATCATCATCTTTATTATTGTTCCATTTTGTAAATCCTGACATCCGTTGTGAACTGGGCGGTGTGTGAGGGTCCCACGTGTGTGTGTGGTTGTTTTTGCACGATGTGTTTTTTTTGACTTCCTGTGATTCCTGCCGTGTCTCCTGCTTTTTGATGTCACAGCCTACCATGCATGTGCGCTTGCCTTTCCACTATTTTTTGGAAGTGGGCATTTCATCTTGGGTGGTTCATAATGGCCGCGTTGGAGTGAATGAGCCAGCACAGCTGAGATGCTGGGCCGAATCCAGGTTTTAGCCTCCCGTGATTAAATCGGGGTCTCAAGTGTTGTGAGGTGGTGGTCTGAGCCCAGTCACCACAGACTGCACAAAAACCCATACTTTATTTGGTTTATTATTTAAATCACCTAACTTTATCTCTAAGGATCTGGATGTGTTTTATTGACATACAGACACCCGTGCAGGGCATGGTGTGCCCCAAGTGTGGCTACAGAGCCAACTAAATTGACATTCTTGATATACGGACAATGGCTCCGTCATGGATCTGTCTCTCCACATAAAATATTAAAGTATTTATTACTCAATCCATCGGCTCCATATCCATCTAGAAGTGTTTCATTTCAGCAGCATTGATTCAATACAAACAAACTCTCGACCGGTTTTGACAGTGTCTCATTCGGAGTCAGGCTTGCTTGAATCAATGCTGGTGAACTGCCAGTTATTATAGGCAAGACCTCTTTAAAATATGGGTTCAGAAGTTAGGTATGACTTCAGAAGTAGTCATGTGGCACGGTGATTCACTACAACACAACACTGGTTGTCAAATTGTTACAGTTAACTAATTTTCAAAGTACTGTTTTATTACGTAGATGTTATCTTGCATGCATTATATCTTTTGTGTGTTTTGTTTTATTGTCACTGGAGATTTTTCAATCTGCAATGATCACATAACTGGTGATTCGTGATTGACAAATGGTTGTTGTGTTCTGAGAATTTCCCAGAAATAAATGCCTCCTATTTGTTATTGAAACAGCTTTTTGTTATTGAATTGTTACAAAAATGTTTAATTCTCAGTTAATTTAACACGGAGGCTTTTGCGACAATTTTTTTTTTTCAACAGGAAAACTGATTCAATTCTGGCAATCGCCTGATGATGCTGGTTGTAATCAGCAAAACTTCGTACTCATTGTAAATGTTGTGAGTTTGCTCTCCACCACACGTGCTGAAGTAGTAACTGATTGGCACGTTTTATTCATGTGACAAACCTTAATAATTGGCCGTGTTGGGTGGTGGTTGGTATACGACACATTTAGCGATCTAACCCAAAATTATTTTTTTCCAAAATACTTTATTATGAGGCGCCAGGTTGTTTGTTCCACTGGAGAAGCTGAGCCATACCGCTTGATGTCACACGCAATGAACAAGTTTAGACGCATGTAGAGGGCATGGTACTCACCGTCATCACACGCCCTGGCCCTGCTTGGCCCACATCCAGATTCAGGTGTCTTGTGAGGCCAGCGTAGCACATATTGGTTCTGAATTAGTGCGGAATATAGCCAGCGAAAAACTACCCATATGACGACACCCTGCGCTGGCACGGCTCGGATGTGCCAATGGAAAATAGATATTAGAGGCCATTACACAGTTTTGGTGAACTGCTGTCCCATCCACCATACTGCCCAGCGTTGGCACCATCACAGTTGGCCTTTTGACGTACCGCTTTTGTGGGCAATGTTTTAAAAATTACGCCACTGTCAGTATAGGATTTCGCTTGCAAATGGTTACGTGATGCTGACGAATCTTCCTGTGATGGAATGCTGGCCCTGTTTCCGCACTGGCAACAAGCACGGAGAAGAGAAGGATGGAAATGGAGTTGAAACAACCAAATATTAGTGACATTGACACGAATGGAAAATGAGGCTGCTGTCTGTAGAGGATAACATTCATGAAGCCATTTGTGCGAGTGTCACGAACATTCGGTTGTGTTTCAACACCCTCTCCATCCTTCTCTTCTCCGCACTTGTTGCCAGTGCGGAAACAGGGCCAACATTCCATCACAGGAGGATTCATCAGCATCACGTAACTATTTGCGAATATCGTAATCCTATACTGTCAGCGGCCGTCCTTTAAATGGCCTAAAGCAGGGGTCGGCAACCAAAATAACAAGAAGAGCCATTTCTTTCCAATTCGGTACAAAATTCAGTATTTCAAGAGCCGCAATGCATCTGAGTACATACTGTACATACTGTAAATATCGTCAAGAAGCAGCCCGTAAAGAGCCGCATGCGGCTCCAGAGCCGTAGGTTGCCGACCCCTGGCCTAAAGGATAAAAATATAAGGATGCCAGAACTGGGTTGAGCTAGTGGATCGGGCAGCACAGTTGACCCGAACTGTGCAATGGTATTTTTTTAATATTGTTGCCCCCTTGCACGTGTGTGTTTCTCCTAGTGCTCTGGTTTCCTCACACATGTAATCACTTGTGTATTGGCCGATAACACCTCAATATATCGAGAACCGGAGAGCTTGAGCAGTTTTTGGTGCCAGCTCCTGCTTGTCTGTGGTTCCTCACGCCTTCAAAGTTCTGTCTGTTAGGGAGCGAATAACCTGCAGCGCATTACAAGTTGAAATCATTCTTATGAAGCCCATATGCAGTTTATCATTTTTCGATTTAAAGCTTTCGTGACTGCAGGGATTCATCTTCTTGGTTCTTTCGGTAAAGTCACGTAGAAGGGAAGTAATAAAATATGAAAAATAAAACATAATAAAATATTTCTCACGACGTTTCGGCCACAACGCAAGCAGCCGTCCTCAAGTGAAGACCAGGTCTGTCGGGGAGACAGCGTCATTTTCATGGTCTGGCATCGTTGTGTTGAAAGAGGACTGATAAATATGCCTGGCAATCAAAACAATCCCATGAATGAATATCAAACATTGTCAGTTCAGTAAAACGTTATGGTGGATAAAAATAGGTGTAACTTTTGGGAATATTCTTTTATAGTCGTGTGTGTGTGTTGCCTTCCCACTGAGTGGTACCAATTGAGTTTTAAGTTACTGATTAACTGTCTCAACCAACGAATTCATTTCACTTTGTGTACAAATCTGGTGGATATTTATAATTTTTGTGTAAGGCTTTTCTACTCCGTCAGCAAAAACAATCCGAAGTGAGTGCTGGACAGCACTCATCTCTTTTGGCTTTCCTGTGACGGTGGTGTACATTTGACATTCCTATGGCAAGTTCCAACCACATTTGGATTCCCATGAAGTGGTACTGGCTGGAGTGTTTATTTTTCGGTGTTGTAAATGAGTGGTGCTCAAGTGCGTGTGAGTCTTCTTGTGAGTGTGTTCAGTATTTTCATAGTGGTTCACATACTGCATTACAATCCTCTCAACCTTGGTTTGATTCATGCTCACTGTTTATGTCAGTGGTAAGTTGTATCTGAACCGGTCTTGGACCTTCCCTAAGTCAACTCGGCCTTCAATGAGTACCTGGAGTGGTTTGTGAATATCAGCACTGGGGAGATAAAGGTGGCCGGGTGTGGTGCTGGCCACATTCAGACCCTCCTGCACCATATCGGGCTTAATAGAGGCTCGCTAACGGCACTTGCACTAACAGTCTGTAGACTACATGAGTGATCATGTCTTGACTTGTTTGATGTATATAATGAATGATTATTGAATTCACAGCCCTTTATCAATATGCTGCTGGATGAAGGCCTCCCATTACCGTGTCAGCGCAGGTTGTCGAAGGCAGTGGTTCAGGACCAGTTCTGATCTCACTCGCCACTGAGTCATATTTAACCGGTTCTGGGAATCAAGTGTGCGAACTACTGCGTCACCCCCCCACTCCACACAGTTGTTTACTGTGTTTGCTGTGGGTGTTTTTGTGTCTATAGCGTTTGCTTTTATATCCCGTGTGTCCCGACAGGCGAGTATGGCTGCTGGTCGTCAAACAGCCACCATGAATGGCCCTAGTGCTGGGCAACAGGGTGGTGGTGGTGGTGGTGGCAGTGGTGGTAACGGTGGTGTCAGTGTCTCCCAGGCTTCCGTGAGTAAAACTCTACACACAGATCCCCATATATACGGGGTATCTGAAAATGACTATAGCAATCCCTCACCAACCATGGGGCTTAGGTTCCTGAAAACCCCCATGGTTGGAAAAACCGGGTATCTGAAAATGACTATAGCAATCCCTCACAAACCGTGAGGCTTAGGTTCCTGAAAACCCCCATGGTTGGAAAAACCGTGGTTGGCAAGACTAAAGGTTTATGGAAAAATAGGTTCCGCAGCCACAATGAACACTCTCATCGAAGCCTAACTAAGCATCCTATGCATTAAGTAAATGTGAAAATATGTACAGTCCTGCAGAACATACACAAATGGACAAATACTTTCATATTGAAAGCGAGCAAAAATACTTTTAATTACCTTTAATATTGATAGTGAAGTGCAGATAATGTTGACTGATGTTAGGGGAGGAGGCTTTGACTCGCTCACAGCCATATGCCGTCCTACTGTTGCCGCACTCTCTCCACACGCAAGCAATTCACCACCAGTTCGACGCGTAGGGGCCATAATTAAAGGAAAATTATTGGTGTTGTACAGGAATTATAGTACACTTTCACGAGGTATAAATTACACCACTACACCTTGATGACTGCCGCACAATACTGAACGACGCGGACAAGTACTATATGCAGGCAAGTGTGGGTACACGCGCATGATGTGCCCCTGGTGGCCGATGGGTAGAGGAAAACTAAACCCATATTATGCGTGGATACTTTAAATCGTGGTTGGCAAAACTGTGGTTGCCACGGAATTGCTGTTTATCAAAAAGAACGTTGAATAATTGTATTGTTATTCAAGATATTGACATAAATTTAATATGAATACATGTGTCGTGACTGACCCAGATACACTAAGAGTAGGAGGCACTGTTTATTAACACAGCCTGACAGTAACATATAGTAACTACAGTTCCTAGTTAGGACAGCTGGTAGACTGCCGGACTGGCAACGCCGAGATGGTGAAGATGGCGATGACGGTGAAGACTTCAGCAGCATGACAGGATCCCACTCCAAGCGACAACCACGAGGTCCGCTCCCTGGGCCCCTCTCATCCTCTCAGCGCGGCCTGGCTCCGCCCCCGGCCACGCCCTCCTTTGGAACCTACCAGCGGGTTCTCGACGTGCCCCTTCCGTAACCTTTCCCCGAGATCCCTCTCTGGTCTATCACGTGGCCTGCTGTCAGTCAGGGCTGCTGTAAGCTGCAGATCCCCTTCCCTGCCAGCAGCAAGCGCTATGCTGCTACGTGACCGATTCTATGTCACTACACATGTAATAGACTTGTGAGTTTTCATTTTTTTATGGTATTGATTAGATATTTTCGAATTATTAATACACTTGTATATGTCGTCCATCATTAACTATAATCAATCTAATTCAGCCTTCAAACTCTGAGAAAATATTTTCCAACACACCTGTAGGGATGAATGACACATCAACAATATGGTGTTTAAGTTCTTCAAGGTCCATTGGTTTGCGAGCATAGACTTTACTTTTTTTTAAACCCCAGACGTAAAAATCTCATGGTGTGAAGTCGGGTGAATGGGAGGACTTGTCATTATATCATAGTAGCGGTAAGTACCCGGCGTTGCCCGGGCGAAAAAGACAGACACACACATGGACTCGCACACACAGACATCGACTTTAGACACACAGACATGGAGTTACACACACGCATCGACTCGCACACACACACATAGACTTACACACACATATCCACTCACACACACACACACATAGACTTACATACACATATCCACTCACACACACAGATACATAGACTCACACACAAATTGACCTACACACACACACGTATATGGACTTACAAAGACACATCGACTAAGAAACACACACATGGACTTGCACACACACACACACACGGACTTGCACACACATCGACGCACACACACACACACACATGGACTCACACACACATACACACATTGCCGTACACACATCGACTGACACATAGACTCACACACAAGCACACACATCGACTCACACACATGGACTGACACACACATGGACTTACACACATGCACTCACACATGGACCTACACACGCAAAGAAATGGACTTACACTGACTCACATGGAGCCACGCACACACAGCGACTAACATACGCACATCGACTCACACACACAAACACATCGACTCACACAGACACATTGACTCACACACACAGACACATGGACTTACACACACACATCACCGCAGACACGCATATTGACACGCATTATTATTGTTGTTAAAATAAGTAACTTAATTTTCAATTAGTAGTTGTCTACACACACACCACGCACACACATTGACTAACACACACATCGACTTATGCACACACACATCGACGGTATGCACTGCTATCACTACAGCAGTGCACACTGACTGTGGTAGTACCTGTTTTAACTACGGCAGTGCAAACCGACTGGTGGTTCCTGGTATCACTACAGCAGTGCCTACTGACTGGTGGTGCGTGCTTTCACTACAGCAGTGCATACCGACTGGTGGTGCCTGGTATCACTAGAGGAGTGCATATTGACTGGTGGTACCTGCTATGATAACAGCAGTGCATACTGTGGTGGTACCTGCTTTCACTACAGCAGTGCATAGCGACTTTGGTGGGACCTGCTTTCACCACAGCAGTGCATGCTGACTGTAATGGTACCTGCTATAACCACAGCGGTGCATAGCGACTTTGGTGGGACCTGCCTTCACCACAGCAGTGCATGCTGTGGTGGTACCTGCTTTCACTACAGCTGTGCATACTGACTGGTGGTACCTGCTATGATAACAGCAGTGCATACTGTGGTGGTACCTGCTTTCACTACAGCAGTGCATACCGACTGGTGGTTGCTGCTTTCACTACAGCAGTGCATACTGAATGTGGTGGTACCTGCTATGATTACAGCAGTGCATATTGTGGTGGTACCTGCTATGATTACAGCAGTGCATACTGACTGGTGGTACCTGGTATGATAACAACAGTGCATACTGAATGTGGTGGCACCTGGTATGATTACATCAGTGCATACTGAATGTGATGGTAGCTGCTTTCACTACAGCAGTGCATACTGTGGTGGTACCTGCTTTCACTACAGCTGTGCATACTGACTGTGGTGGTACCTGCTATCACTACAGCAGTGCAATACCGACTTTGTTACCTGCTTTCACTACAGCAGTGCATACTGACTGTGGTGGTACCTACTATGATGACAACAGTGCATACTGTGGTGTGACCTGCTTTCGCTACAGCAGTGCATACCGACTGGTGGTGCCTGCTATGGTTACAGCAGAGCATACTGTGGTGGTAGCTGCTCTCAGTACAGCAGTGCATACTGTGGTGTAACCTGCTATGATTACAGTAGTGCATACTGACTGTGGTGGTACGTGCTATCACAACAGTAGTACATGCTGACTCTATAGCAGTATATATCGACTGTATAGCACGAACCTGACAGACTGGCGTGGTGAGGCCTAGTCCCGTGCAGAGCCCCCGGCCTTGCCTCGATTGCCTAGCAGGCAGGCTGGGGGCTGGGCTGCTACCCCCCCCACCATCCCCCCGGCCACGCAAAAAAATACTATCTAAGCGTTATATTAATGTGTACGTACTCTATAGTAGTAATTGTACGCATCGGAGTGGGAAGGACATCACACAGGGAAGAATGTATCTCAGTGTTGTGGGTTTTTTTGTAGCATTTTTAACTTGAAATAGAATTTCCCCCTCACCCCCACTGAACGCGTGTGACTTGGCATGGTCCTTCCCCCCCCACCAACAATGCGTGAGTTGGTGTGGTCGAGCACGCAATAAATAAATAACGACAAAACGCACAAAACCGCTAATTAAACTAATTTAAAGATGACGGACGTGAAAAAGGAATAGCGCTTGCCACCCGCGGGGCTTACGGCGTGGTACCTGGCTTATTTTCTTTTACGTAAATCCCACCGTTTGAGAGCCAAATCCCTTGCAAGTAGGCCTCGGCAAGGTAAGGTAATTTACCCTTTTTACCGGGTAAAAGGGTAAAGGTGTCGACATGCTTAGGGGTAAGGTAAAGGGTAGGGTAAAGGTAGCTCGGAAGAATTACCCGGTAGGGTAAAGGTAGCGCGAAGTATTACCCGGTAAATACGGTGCCTTGTTTACCGCTAAAAGCTCCGTGGCGCAGTCCGTGGCCTCCATTTAATAAGTAATATTAAAACAAACTTTCTTAAAAACACGCTTTTATGAAATGTACGAGTAATGACAGAACTCTACGACTCCAGGAAGTGGCCCCAAGGCTTGCCATAACGTAAGGGGCCGTGGTGATTTACAGCCAACGTCAGTTGAGCGTGGACAATTAGACCCAAGCCGAAACATAACCTATACAAAATGATTTTATGATAGAATATAGTGTTGTCATCAGTATGACATAAGTATACCAAGTTTGCAGTCGATGCCACATTAGGAAGTGGGTAAAAATATAGTTAGAAGATTTGAGGATACGACAACAACAACAATGACAACGACGACAACAACAATGACAACAACAACAAGCATGTAAAATTGGAATCATCAAGAGTATTCTATATTAATAAAGCGCTCTACCTTGTAGCATTTACCGTTATAAACCTTGTTCATGTGTAGTAGTACCCCAGTAATTACCCTGTAATCGGGTAATTTGTATGGGGTAAGGGTAAAAGGTAAAGTAAAAGGTAGGCTCGTTGCTTTTTACCTTTTACCTTACCTGCTAAAGGATAAAAGGTAGGGTAGAGTGATTGTATTGTGGTAAGGTAAAAGGTAGGGTAAAAATAGGCTCGTTGTTTTTACCTTTTAACTTTTACCTTGCCTTGCCGAGGCCTACTTGCAAGCACGTGAACACACACAGACAGACAAAAAATTACATTCATATATAAGAAAATGGGGTTTCTCCTGAAGCAGAAAGAAAGTACCGACTAATATTCTCAACAAACTAAAACCTATAAGTATAATGCATATTTCCATATCAAATTTATGTCAGTCTCTCGAATAATAATAAAACTATTCGTCTTTTTTGTTTATTCCTTTTTGGACACTATATATATACACATGATGCTCCCAGAGGCATATTGCAGTGTCACACATTGATGACTAGAGTATACTGATGATTCCTAACAAGGATGAAACAGGTTTGCAGTGGTATTTGTTTCACTGCTGCCTATTGGCACAACCACTTTTTCTTTACTCTTCGAGTTGGTGGTCTAAATGACAAAATAGTCACATTCAGTTGTTTGGATAAGGCTGAGGGATCTTGTACATGGGGAAATGAATTTAGGTGACATCGCCAAGTGATCGGAGAGCTTGAAGGCTTCAAGATCAGGCCCCAGGTATGGGTCTCTCTTCCTATATTTAGTGTTATGGGGTTAATAATGGATATCTCAGCAACAGTCAGCACTGCTCAGATCCCGTTTTCAATCTTGAAACTCATGTTGGACAGCCTTCCCTCCCTGTCATGCCTTTCCTCCCTTCAGATTAATTTGACTCCGAGCTCGGCCATGATTGGCCGGACTCAGGGCGTCTCCACGCAGCCCGTGAGCGGCCTTACCCAACAAGCTGTGCTCCTGGGCAACTCGGCCACACCCGGGCAGATCAACCAGGCTCAGATGTATCTACGAGCGCAGATGGTGAGGAGGCGAGAATGTTAACAACATTTTTTCATCTTAATCTACGGTTACTATAAGTGGACATGCCAACAAGTGTGACAACAGCTATGAATACCACCAAATACCAGATCCTTCCTGCCTGTGATGAGATGGGCTTAAGGAGTTTGAATGAAGATGCAGCCTTATATGATTTAATAACCTAGGCTAAAAACTGCAGTGCACTGGGGAAGACCAAACTTGGTCATATGTATATAAAGAGAGTCACTGATTTAACTGATTGGCTGTGCTGATAATACTGCTGGGGGGGTGCAGATTTGCATGTTCCTCACACCAACATTGAATAACTAACAGCAACTAAATGTTTGACTGCTCTAAGTTGGCTACAGAATAACAACATGAAACCACCGGCTTGAGATTTGATGAAGATTCCACTGGTGTCGTGGACTCAACTAAGACTACAAATTAACACGTCCATTCTCAGATTAATAAGATCCATCATGACAATTTGTTGAGTTGAGGGTTGTGGGGCAGGTTAGAATCAACACATACTGTAGTGGGTACACAGAATTATATACACAAAGTATTCCACTTCAGTACGTGGTGGAGGACTGGCATAGTAGTCACGCTATGAATCCAGGTGGCTAAAACTAAAAACTATTTTAAAATAGTTTTAATTTACCAGGTAAGGCCCACTGAGACCTATAGCTCTTTTTCAGAAGCGACCTGGTGACAAATTATAGCTCAACGAAGTGGCTTATTTGGAAATGTACAGCAGCTAAATATCAGTGGCAAGTGATATCTGAATCAGTGGCTGTATGCCCCCCCCTCCCCACTTTTGTTCCCCAATGGGCACTTGAATGGATCTCAGAAGTAGTTCTATGATATCCACCTCACTGAGATAAGTGGATACAATCGAGGAGGGCATAATCCAAAAAACAAACGACTATTATCTTGCAGATGTACAACGAGGCTATATTACCTGGACTGCCCTACTTGCTCTATCACACTCACCCTCCCGCTTGCTCTCCCACCATCCTCCCCGCAGCTGATCCTGACGCCAAGCGGCACCGTCACCACCCTGCAGCCAGAGACGACGGCGTCGCACTCGGCCCCCTCCACCGGCGCAGCGCAGTCAGTGGCTGCTCAGGTGAGAGAGAGAGCGAGGGTACGAGAGTGAAAGAGCCCGCGCCCCTCTATCTGCCTGTCCCTCCCACCGTCTTCCATCAAACTGTCGTCAATATGCCTGTCTCTCCATTTACAGGCAGTCTCCGGTTTACAAATGGTCTGATTTATGATGATCCACATTTACGACGTTTATGTAGGGCCACTGGATCGATTTACGATGCTTCTTACGACACGACTCTGAGCGCATTCAAACAGTCCGGTTTCCGATGTGACTTGGCGTGGAGCTTTTATTTTCAAGTGTTTCTTGTGGATTTTCACCTAATAAGCCCTGTTAAATATGGCTGATAATAGGAAAACACATCGGCAAGTAATGTTTCTACTGTTCCCACTGTCTGGGAAAATATGGTCTGTTTCACTACGATCCGATTTACGACGGGGTTTCCAAGAATGCATTATGGCGTAAAAGCGGGGACTGCCTGTATTTGTATGTCTGTCAGCTGGTATGCCTGTCTGTCCATATGTCCATCGTTATGCCATTATTCTAGTCTGACCATCAAAAGCCTATATCTGCATCTGTGTCTCTGTTATTAGACCTGTCCCTCCGTCAGTGTCTGTCTCTCAGTCGTATGTCTGTCTCTCCATCTGTCTGCAGCGGAGGGAAAGGCACCTCCTCTCCTGATCTTATCGTTACAAGGTGACGTCTGCTCTCGCAGTTGGCGTCATCCCGTCGGATGGCTTGAAACATAACTTCGTTTTCCCTCTGTAAATTACTTCTGAGGGCAAACCCATCTCTGGAAGAGTTACAGAATCCGAGTGTGCGTATCATTTTTTTCTCGTTAATTTCTCGGTTTTTCACGGCATCAGAACCTGGTGTCTCGCTCGGCGGGGCAACCTCTGGGTCTGAGCGGCATTGCTTCATCTCAGAGCGTCCCTCTCAAGGCCAGCGGTGGCAACAACATCAACAGCGGTGGAGGCGGCGGTGTCGGCGCTGGCACTGGTGGCATGGGTGTGCCCCACCTGCCCGGCACCAACCAGGCTAAGTCTCCCAAATCGGGTGGGCACACAGAGCTCATGGGCGACTGTGGCAAGAAAGGAGACTTACAGGCAAACATCATGACTCAACAGCAGCAGCAGCAGCAGCACAGCATGATGGGAAGCGGGGACGGGCGAGGGGGGACGGCACGCATGGCGGCAGGCTCGGTGGCTGGGTCAGCGACAGCGGCTGGGTATCCACTGCTGCCCATCACTTCAGGTGACATCCGGTGACTCAATGAGCCACGGATTTGGTAAACTGGTATCACAGCAGTGCGTAATGGTTTTGTATACGAAATTGCTTTTTTTTTGCATTGAACAGGGCCTAGAGTTCAGATTCAGTGTTCTTACCAATAATATCTGGTAATCCTGCAGCATTTGTTTAATCTAATTTATATTTATAGAGCATCTTCACTCAAGGTGCTTGACATAACTTACAAAACGATGCCAGAATTGAATGATGTAGTTGACAGGGGCGTACATGGATTGAGGAATGAGTGACAGCGATAGATGATACTTGGGGATCACTGAAGGATAGGGGAGGGATGGGAAGTGGCGAAGGGCAGAAAAAATGAGCAATAGTGAAGAGGTAATCTTTAAGAGAGGAATTGGAAGGAGGTTAAAGAGGGGGACTGCTTAATGTACAGGGGATGTTTATTCCAGTGGAGGGGAGCATGGAGGGAGGAGGACCAGGAATGGAGTAGGGCACAGGGAGAAGGAGGGACAGACAGAGAAGAATGGGAACGAAGATGACAGGAAGGAACATGGAAGGAGATGAAACTCAGAATGTTCAAACCAGCCCAAAGTTTTCTTGATTAAAAAAGTGTTGCTGGTTAATATTGGCCTGAAAAGCCGATAGGCCGATAAACTTAAACACATGTTTATATGTGGAGATACAGAATAGTGTTCTCCTTATATTTGCTTTTACTCTTGATGCGCCACAACAACGCATCGTGAGTTTGTGAGACTCGGTGAGGCTTTCCCACACATTAAATTCTAATTGCATATAAAATAAATACAACAAATATAATTTAAAGCTCCTTGTCAATCTGCTGAATGCATTAGTTTCTCCCTTAGCCATGTCAGTCATTGGGGTTGTTTGACCATACTTCACCACACTAGTCAGCGTGGATTAGTGAAGGTGGGGGGCTATGACCAGTTCAGGCAGCACTTGCCACTGGTGTTCGCCATGGATGTAGTTTAAGGCGAAGGTGTAGCCCTGCAATTTCTCACTCATGCCACTGCTGGTGGAAGGGCCTCCACTAGAGGGAGTGCGAGAGAGCCCCTCTCCTGAATATATTTTTGCCTACTCTTCCACACTGGCCATACATCTTTTGAAGAAGTGGGAGTACCTACACTTTACCCCACCTCACATGTTCTGCCAATCAACTAACTGTGTTTTACCCATTTATACTGCTGAGTGGACAGAGGCATTTCTACTTACTTGCTGGGTGGATGTAACCTCCACACAGGTACATTCTACTCCAATGAACTATTATTGTGGGCAGCAGGGTGGTGCAGTGCTAACACTGGTGCCTCACAGCAAGAAGGGCCTGGGTTCTTTTCCGAACTCGTGCACCTCTTTGGACGGAGATTGTATGGCCTCCCCCGTGTTCTCCATGGATTTCCTCGGGGTTCTCCGGAAAAAAAAAATGACCTCCAAATTACTCAATTTCAGTTACACAGGCAATATCGCTCCCTTTCTAAACCTTGGCAGGACGGGGCTTTTCTGGATGAACTAGCATTATATTGGGAAGTGCACAGTGGGAACATCTCTATGAATGTGGAGTTTTATGATTGGGACTTATCGGTGTTGAGATGAGGATTTGACTGTCAGAGATTAATCGATTGTCATATTTCAGGAGGACCGCACTGGCTGCTCAACACCAATGATCGGGGAACGCTGCATATCAACTCGAGTGAGTGAATGGGAAGGGAGTGGGCTTAGCTGCGCTTCAATTAAAATACGACACTGACAATTTCCACAATAACACCATCTCCTACCCCTGTGCTGTATACTCCGATACACTTATAACAACAGTAACCCGCTCTGAACAAACTATATTGGGCTCAAAATCAAAAAACACAATGTAACTGGTATTGGACAAACATCCCAATGCAAAAAAATGCCTCCAAATAACTCGATTGAGATTTACAGGATAGCAACATCGCTCATCAATTAAAGATACACAAATGAAAATATTAAAAACATGTATGGCACTTTTTGTCAATTCGCTGCTGGATGAGGGCCTCAACATGCCGTGCCAGTTGTGAGGGTTATTTGACCATACTTCAGCGTGCCGGTCAGTGCGAGATTGTGAAGGCATCGAGCTTAAGAAGTTGGGGCATAGTAATAATTCTCATGACAACTGCATCTTATACTTCTGCTACATGCTCCCATATGCATCAATAAGAGCTGTTGGTCTTTTGGGGTTTGGGCCTTAAAATTGGTTCAAAGTTTGACTGAGTTCCCTAACGTTCTCTCGTGTTACTATCCCTGCAGCTACCTATACGTCAATGCAGCAGCAACAGCAGCATCACCTCATTCAAACACAGCAACAGCAGCAGCACAAGCAGCTGCAACAGCAGCAGCTTCTTCATGGACAGCATTTGCAGCACAAACAGCATCAGCAACAGCAGCATCAGGCGACCAGTCACGTGTCACAGAGTGCTGCCACTACCACCACCACCACCGCCGCTGCTTCCGCCGTCTGTTCCCATCATGCATTGCTTTCCCAGCATGCACCGGTACAGGCCGGGCAGGTGGCGATGGGGGTGGCTGGCACCGTCGGTCAGAGACAGCAGAGTGCTGTGATGGGGGCCAGCGGATCCCATCTGCCCCCAGCGGCACAAGCGTATGGAGCCACTCAGGTGAGCACCCAACTCGCATGATTATTCTATTTGCATCGTATTGTTTTAAAGCCGGGTTGGGAGACCTAGCCACCCCCTTTGATATATTCAATTCATACAAGCCACAACTTAATTTTACACATGGCCCATGACTTCTTTTCAGTTGGCACATGGTCACACTTTGAAATGTCCTGCAAGTGATATTTATCGGTCACTGCAAGCATCTTAACTGCACTGATGGGATACGAGATGGGAATATTTTTGGTGTGTGCTTATGTGTGGCTCTCCAAAAGTATTTGACAGACCTTTTGGGTGGGCCGAAACGGGCCAGTGGGACTTATGTACCCCTCTCTTTTAACCAAATAACTCACGTGAGTTGGCTGCTCGGTCGCTGTGTAGGTGGTGGGCACGACTTCATCATCATCGTCATCGGCTTCCGGAGCGAACCACCTTGTCTCCCCGAGCTCCTGCGCGACCCCATGCGCCCAGCCCCACTCGACGATGACAGCAACGGCAGTGACATCATCATCATCTGCTTCGTTGTCCTCCTCCTCGTTCACTTCCTCCTGCTCCTCGGGAGTGGCGACATCCAGAAACACAGCGCACCCCTCCGGACACTCCTCTACACGCGCCGCCCCTCCCACCTCGTCCACCTCATCCACAACTCCCGTCGCCGCCACCTCGACGCTGCCGCCCCCACAGACGATGGCGGTGAACCTGCAGGTGGTGCAGGCGGGGACGGCTGGCTCTGGAGAAGTGAGTGAGCGTGGGGTTTCGTGAAATACCACTCTTGACACCTTAAACAAAACAGCCAGTTGCAAGGGATTGTGCCGATACACACCACCCACACACGAATACATATAGATGATTGTGAGTGTGTGCTGATACACACCAAAGACAAAGATCACCCTTATAGCTTTAACAAACTGTAGGTTCAAGTGCTGTGAGTAAGCGCCTATGAAGGCCTGTACGGCACACAAGGGGGTGGGTGGTCAGCACTACGCCTAGCCACCTTTGGCGATGTCTACACACTGCACCAGGTACTCATTTGAGGCTAAGTTGACCTAGGGGAGGCCCAGGACCATTCCCAAAATCGTCACCTGTGTTGGGCGTGAGCAGGAATTGAACCCGAATTGCTGGGTTTGTAGTGCGGCGCACTAACCATTGCTGATAAACATGACACACACTTCGGCGTATATGCATGATACACAAGCGTGTGTGGCAATACATACACACACATGAATACATATGTAATTTGAGTGGTTTTCGACACTGGCAGCACTATCCCGCACGTGCTTTCTCAGCCTTCATAGGTATTCACTTGCAGCACGTGCCCCAACAGTCTGTTAAAGTTACATGGGCGATCTTTGTCTTTGCGTGCAAGAAGGATCGCTGCCCAGTAATGCCACCGCCCTCCTCCCCATCTCGCACAGCCCCAAGGCCCCAAGGCAGGGGAAGTGAACGGGGAGCGGCGGGGTAGCCCCCCTGGTGAGGCGCGCCCATCACGCCGACCAAACACGCCGTCCCCACCCTCTCTCTCGCCGGCACCGCGGCCTGTGGATGGACAGCCACACGCAGGTGAGGCCGGGTCCTCCACTGGCACCATGTACAATGATTCACTCCACCTCCCCATGATGATTCAACAGTCTCTTATGATCATCGTGATCACAAACCATGATCAATCCAATGCTCTATCCAGCACCTGGGAAAGGTCACAGCAGAAAGTACTAGACACAAAATAACCTTGCCTTGCATCCCTCTTACTCATCTTCATCTTTTTTTGAGGGTGTAAGCCACGCCACCACCAACCCTTGCCTCGTGTTGATGGGGAGGCGTGTCCATAATAGGCTGGGACTCACGGCTTCCCACACCTCACACCCACGCGTCCATGCCCTCTTCATTCTGTTATTCACATAAAAAGCCACTCCCTGTTGTCTGATTTTATGCTTTCCCGAGTGGCGAGCTGTCTACCACTCATCGTTACTGGAGCTAGAACCAATCCACTGGACCTTCTTATTCCACAGAGGTCTCGGTGGTACCAGTGCAGATCCCGACAGAGGAATAGCATAAGAATAGATTTTACCCTTTCTGGCAATAAAACAGGTGTTAAGATGTTAAAACACCAAACTGAAACTTTTTTCAAGGAATCATGTCTGCATTAACCACATATACTTATGGTGAACATGCAAACAAAAACATGCTCTGGTAGTATATGAATTTTCCTTGAAACCGATTGGTCCACACCAGAGACAGCTTTCTTCTAGAGCCTAGTCTCAAACAGTGTTTGACCAGAGGACGCCAAAAGGTGAACAGCACAAAGACCACACACTATCAGGACACTGAGAGCGTGGGTTGAGCAGCTACATCATGGGACAAACTGAAACCTTGCAACCTTGCAAAAGGTTTCATTTGGGTATTTTAACATCTTAACACCTGTTTTATTGCCAGAAAGGGTAAAACCTCTTGTTATATTTTGATACTGGCAAGGGAGGTCCCAAGAGGAATAGCAGCCTCTCTTTTCCCCTACGACCATTTGGACGTTCCACATGGCCAGCCCGAGTGCCTGTTATTTATGGAGGGTGGAGGGACCATGAGGGGGGGGGGGGACGCTTAGTCTCCTGGCTCCACGATATGAGGTTTGGCAACAAGACGTTACAGACGCTGTCCCCTCAGTGCCTCCGACACAAGCTTAGTTTGTTTTCTCCGTCGTTCTTTGCTAATTAGTTTAATGGGGGAGGGCCCCTTGTATGCATCCAGTGCCCCCGTTAACCACTCTGGTAACTGTAAGCACCAACAGCTAATTAGCATAAGCTTTTCAGCCTTTCCCCCATTGCCATTGTTCACAAAACAGCTCGGTGTTACCATCTGACACAATAGAGTAGATGGGTTTGTTTTTCCAGACAATACACCTCCATACACAAGCACACACATGCATGTTCAAAGGAACACTGATACACAATAACTTCTCTATGCATACTCTCATATGTACACACACATTCATACACAGGCGCGCACACAGACATACACATGCTGTATATAGGCAAACATACGTTTATACACTCACGAAAGACTAAGATGCCCCATATAGCCACCAGGCTGTTGGGGCAGGTCCTATTAGCAAGCACCTATGAAGGCTGATACAGTGCATCTGATGGTGGTGTGGTCAGAACCATGCCTGACCATTTATGTCTCCTGAGTGCGGATTTCTTTTTGCACCACAGCAGGTACTTGTAAAAGGCTTGCGTCGACCTAGGAGAGGCCCAGGACTGGTTCAGATATTGGTCACTGATGTTGGCTGTGAGTGGGAATCAACCTGCTCACCGTGTTTGTAGCGCAGTGCACGAACCAATACATTCGCCACACCCCACCTCTGCGCTACACACACGCACGCACGCATGCACACGCACGCATGCACACGCATGCCCATGGCACACAAAGGGGTTCAGAGCTCGCGTGTGGTGGTGACGCTGGGAGCAGATGCAGGAATAATAGTCGCTCCACCGCACACATGCGCATATGCACGTACAAAGACAAAGATTCCCCCTATAGCCTTAACAGACCTGGCAAGTGCTGTTCGCGAGCACCTGTCAAGGCAATCACGGCTCACAAGTGGGTGGGTGGCCAGCACCACGTTAGGCCGCCTTTGTCTTCCGAGTGGCGATGTTTACACACCGCACCAGGTACTCCTTTGAGCCTGAAGCGATCTAGGAGAGGCCCAGGACTGGTTCAGATAATCATCATTCTTTATTGGCCGTGAGCGGCAATTGAACTCATGTCGCCGGGTTCGTAGCGCAATCACATTTACAGCTACACTACCGCTCCCACTTAAACATATACCCGTACACATGCATTAACGCAGACTCGAACACGCATACTTACTCACACATGCGTGCACACGCACTCACACGTGCACTCACACACTCAAACGCAGACTCACACCTGCTCACTCACACATGCTCACATACGAACGCACGCACAACCACCCCGAGCCTTGGCTTTCTCTGGTTCTAATGAATTTTTATTCATGAAAAAGAGTTTGTGGGGGCAAGAGCGTATGTGTTGGGAGGGACGCGTGAGTGTTTGTGTATGTGGGAAGTAGTAGTATAGCGGTTAGCACGCTGCGCTGTGAACCCAGCGACCAGAGTGTGCAGCTAAAGTCCCTGTTAACAGCACTCAACGCTGCAGTCTCTAATGCTCAACTGTGGGGATCTTTGGGTTTGTGTGAGAGAGACTGATGGTGTGAGCACATGGTTGTGTGTGCTGAGTATGAGAGGTTGTATGTGTGCGAGTGTGTATGAGAGTGTGGGTGTGTGAGGGGACAATATTTGTGTGTGTGCGTGTGAGAGGGTGGTAGATGTGTGTGGGGGTGTCTGAAGGTGGCCAGGCATGGTGCCGGCTACCCACCCCCTCGTGTGCCATGCTGACCTTCCTAGGTGCTCACTAACAGCACTTGCCCCACCAGTCTGTTGAGGCTATACGGGGGATGTTTGTCTTTGGGGGTGTCTCACACCCTGTGCTGAAAACAGCAAACACAAATTGGTTTTCAGGCTTCAGCTCACATTAGGAGCAAGCAATATCCGAACCGGTCCGAGGCCTGCCATAGGTTCACTTGGCTTAAAATAAAGTACCTGAATTGGGGTGTAAACATCTGCACTGGGAAGACGATGGCAGATGAGGCGTGGTGCTTTCTACATCACCCCTTTGTGTACTTTTCTGGCCTTAGGTGCTAGCTAACAGCACTTTCCAAAGAGTCTTTGAGGCTACATGAGGATGTCTGTCTTTGTAAGCATTCTAAATATACTGTATATATAAAGACATGGTTTAATAACTGCCTCCTACCCTTGTCACCCTTGCAAAAGAGACGTGATATTGCAGTAGGTTCTCACCTGATGAAATAGGCTGCTACTCCTCGAATGCAGATCAGGATTAATATGATATAAAGAGGTGAATAAGAGCTGAATGTATTGATTTTGGTAAAGACTGAATCTTATCATGGAACAAAAAAACATTTTGCCTTACAAGGAATGATTTCCACAAAGTGCATATTGCCTCTACTGTGACATGGATTAGAAACGTGGACACTGACAAAGGCATTGGAACAAAAGGTTGAACATTGTACAAAGAAGCATGGTGAGAGGTGAATGCTTGGAGAATTACACTAAGAGACTGAAAGAAGAGCTTGTGGATCAAAGGACAAATGCAAATCAGAGACTTGGTATCGGCTGTAAAGAAAAGTGGGTTTTTGCAGAGCACATCATGGCTGGATGGAATGATGGCTGCTGGATGAGACTGGAGACATAATGGCAACTAAATGAGTGAAAATACCAAAGATAAGATCGGCTCATTGACAGAAGCTCGATGGATTGTGGCATTTCAGTACCATGCATGATAGCGAAAGTGTAGAGGCTTTCATCGAGCAGTGGATTGACCATGGGTAATAATGATGACTACTCCAATTTTATAGAGGGTGCAATGTTGCATATATTACTCGCTATTGACGGATGTATGAATAAGTCGGATATGTAAATATGTATTCAAAATTACAGATACACCATTTGATGGGACTAATTTTTTGTTGTAAATGTTCAAATACTGTCAGTGCCTTCGTAATAGTTGACAAAGAGAAACACAATTCCAATGGCACAGATATATAGCACTGATAGGTAAAACAATAATAATGTAATAAAAGGACTCAGACACTTCTTGCTGACTCCGTGTCCTTTATTTGGGGTTCGCGTTCTCCTTCCCACACGGCACTCCTCCTGAGACTCTCTCCCTGGCAGCCCCACATCTGCCTTCGCTCCCGTAGCCTTCCACGCTCCTGCAGCTCCGCTGCAGGCTCTTGGTACAGCCCTCTGGCTGCTCCCCCAGCAGCTCCATCTCTGCTCCCTGTTCCTCCGTGCGTGGCGATCTCGCCACCTCCCAATGTCAGCCCTTCGTGGCCTCTATGGCTATCTCGCCATTTCCTACCTCAGCCCTTCGTGGCCTCTGTGGCTATCTCGCCATTTCCTACCTCAGCCCTTCGTGGCCTCTGTGGCTATCTCGCCACTTCCTACCTCAATCCTCCACTCTCTCTTCCACCCCGCTGGCTGGCGCCGTCATGAGCCCCTCAGCCACCAGGCTGAGGCACGGCGACCACCCAACGCGTTCACCACCCTTCACTCCCCCGACTGACCCAGATAGCTTCCTGTCTCCCCGCTATAACTTCTCCCCCACGTCACCCTGACTCCTCCCTCTCGGATCGTCATATCCGCCCCGCCCATTTACGCCCGCATTACACTACCCTCCCCCGTAGAGAAAATCCCAGCCGTCCTCGGCTGAAACAGAACAAAATAATGCGGGCGAAGGCATCACAATCAGGAGTCCCCCAGACACAACGGAGATTATAACAACAACAACACAAGCAACGAAAGGGGAGGTATCAGGAACTGGAACAGAACACCGGCCTGTCCTCCGCACAACAACAACAAGAATAAAAATGGCACAATGAACAAAAACGGCAACTGACACGCAAGAACGGCCAACGCGCACAACCCAGAAATGTGATGTTTTAGTGCGTGTCCATGTTGCAGTTCCAT